GGGGAGTGCATAGGTTATGTCCGTGGTGGTGCAGGAGGGGTGGAGGCTTTGGTTGCTTTCCATAACACTGCTCGTAAACTTGGGATTAGACTCACGTGGGGTCGGCGGCAGGCGCCGATGCTGGGGAGCTGCAGGGGTGTCGTCCCAACCGTGGGGACCCAGGGTGGGTGGGCGCCAGGAGCTGCCCTGCTTGGCACTGAGCACGTCAGCCGAGGAGTTTCGTAGCCTACGGAATGTTTCTTGGGATTCTTATCAAAGTGTTACTTGGGTAAGAGGACTTTAGACGGGGTAATCTTTGCTAGGAAGGGGCTGTGAGCTGGAGAGCAGATAACAGCTCGTGATGCTCTTGAGAGCCAAATGATGTCAAATTTTAACTTTCTAACTGGAAAGTGTTTCATGGCTTGTCTAGGTCTCTTTTTTTTTTTATTTCTCCCCTCCCTCCCCAAATGATCTAAAAGGGTTGGGGTGAGGCGTAAGAGCTCTTCCTCCCCATTTCCCAAGGGCAGGAACTGCCTCTGCAGATATCTCAGCTCCTTAATGGAGAGGAGCCCTTCTGAGGAGCCCTCTGAGACCCGTCCTGCGTGGGGTACCCACGGGCCTCCTGGTTTTCACCCGCCAATCCTCCCGCTTCGGAAATGTGGACTCCAGCTCACTGAGCTGGGTGCAGGCAAGGAGCAAGATGCTGATCCTTCACCAGGTGAGCAGGCAACTGCTTCGAACTGCTCTGCCTTAACTGAATAAGGAAAAATGACATGGGTCCTACCTCCGAACAGTGAAATCTGTCACCTGTGCTGCTACGATCACTTTGCTCCCTTGCTGGCCCCAATCTCTGTCCCCATCTCCTGCGGTGGGGCTGGGAGCTCAGCTGGGAGCCCCACGTCCCATGGTGCCCACGAAGCAGCCCAGGTCACCTGTGTGGCTGCACTGGGAAGCCGGCGCCTCTGCACTTCTCTTTAGTACCAAATGACCCTCTGTACCTGAAACTGTGACGGGATGTGCAGGATTCAGGGATACTTGTGGATGTGTGGTGGTATGGTGGTGTGTATGGTGTTTTGGAGTATCTGCAGGACAAGGGAGGGGTTGAAGACCTTGCTCATAAATATCTGCTGTCTTTCTGGAGGAGAAAGTTTCTTCCAAGTGACTGGAGATGAGTGAGACACTGATAGCTACCATCTCGATGGCTTCGACTGAAGCATGCTAGTTCTTGTGCAGGACCTCTGGGGTCAGTCACCGGCTGTGTCTGGGTCACTCAGAGCTGTCAGCACAGAAATGTGTCCCTGGAAGCTCCCCGTTAGTATCCTGTCCGTCAGAGAACAGTCTCCCGTTTTGGGAACCCCACCAAGGGGGCTCATAGCTGTCCTCCTGCAGCCTTTGGCAAAAGGGGTGCCGGGGTGTGAGAGCTAAGAAGCCTGGAGACCAGTGGTGCTGCAGGAGTGGCCCCAGCTCTCATGGTTGGTGGGGAATGGGGAATTCTCCCGCTGCCCTTCTGCATGGCACCTTTGGGTGCTGAGCCAAGAAGGTCCCTGGTCCTGCTTATCTTGCGGGGCAGGACTCTACAGAGTTGCTCAAGCAAGAGCACACTAAGCTGTCCTCGGGGGGTCGGTCCCACGGTGTGGGTGCTTGGGGCCATGGCACTGTCGCTTCTTCTCTGGCTTGTGAAGAGTGCCACCAGGCCTGCCGTGTGGCCATCGGGGTGTGGGGCTCTGGCGGGAGCGTTGGCTGCAGAGGAGGTTGCGTGTCCTTGAGTCTCTTCCCGCCTTCCACAAACCGTTGTGGTGGGCATGCTACGCACTCTTCTCGTGGGGCTGCTCCCTGCGGAGGGGAGGCATTGGGTGCAGGCATGAGATGTGCACCTGAGAGCTGCCTCTCTGGGTCTGTGGACAGTGTCGCTGGAGCTGGTGGGTGCTTTTCGGGTTGTTTAGCACCATCCCTGGTGAGACTCCATCCTTGACCCAAGCGTTCTTGCAATGCCAAGACTTGGGTAGCTGGTGTCCTCACAGAAAACTCAATATTCAGGATCTCTGGCTTTTTGCAAGTGTTGGTGGAACCCTAACTATTGCTTTTTGTTTTTCCCCTTGTCGTTCACAGTACAGTGCCGTGGACAGCAACCCCCTGTCTCTGTACGTCATGCATCCCTTCTGGAACACGATAGTGAAGGTGAGACCTTGTCCTGCCCTGAGTGGGATAGCAAAACTCCAGTCACCACAAAGTCTTCTCTGTAAAACTCTCAGCTGAAAAGCCCTGCTTCGTTTGTGGTGCAACTAATTACAAAGGGCGCTGCCTTCCAGCCTGCCCCCAGCTCACTGCATTGCAGCCTAAAGCTTCCTGCTGCCCTGTGATATGCCAGATGCAACTAAGCGGTGTTGTCTAACACCCAGAGGATTGTAACCAGGTCTCTGCCATGGCTGGGAGCAGTGCGTGGTCCTTATTACATGTTTTAATGAGTTCATGTGTTCTTTTGCTGCTTTCCCATAGATCTTCCCTACCTGGCTGGCCCCAAATTTGATAACGTTTTCTGGCTTCCTGCTGCTTGTCTTCAACTTCTTCCTCATGGCATACTTCGACCCTGACTTTTATGCTTCTGGTAAGGCTGCCTGTTCCTGTTCGGATGTGAAGCATCAGAGTGGTGAAATCTGTCACCTCCTCTGCCGTGACTTCTGGTGCTCATTGATAAGGCCTCTCAGTCTGGGCCTTCCCAGAGGCAGTGGCTGTGCCAGAGGAGGGACAGAGCTGAGGGGTTGAACTCGCTGGGCTTCATGATGAGGACTTGTCCGAGTACGACACCTTCCCTCTGGCTGCTGGGTGGATGTTGAGCCTGGCTGGCAGCGTGTGGGCAAGGGAGGAGGAAACAGCTGAAATCTTGAGTAGTAATTGGCTCTGCCTACAGAGTAGAAAAGAAGCCAGTGCCCTCATTTTAAAATCTGGCAGGGTTATGTGGGAAACTGCTTCCCTGAAGTTAGCAGGTAGAGCCTTGTTCTTTGTATCCCAGCTAATTGCCCTTTGTACAAAAACATGCCAGCACCATGTTCAGACTAAAAGAGGCAAAATCCTCTTTCTCAGTTTCACCATTCTGCATAAGGCAAGGATGTGCACAGCTTTAGACTTTTTAACAGTACCCATAGAATCACGGAATGGTTTGGGTTGGAAGGGACCTCTAAAGGCCATCTAGTCCAACCCCCCTGCCGTGGGCAGGGACATCTGCAACTAGAGCAGGTTGCTCAGAGCCCCGTCCAACCTGACCTGGAATGTTTCCAGGGATGGGGCATCCACCACCTCTCTGGGCAACCTGGGCCAGTGTCTCACCACCCTCAGCGTAAAAAATGTCTTCCTTCTATCTAGTCTGAATCTCCCCTCTTTCAGTTTAAAGCCATTCCCCCTTGTCCTGTCGCAACAGACCCTGCTAAAAAGTCTGTCCCCATCTTTCTTGTAAGCCCCCTTTAAGTACTGACAGGCTGCAATAAGGTCTCCCCGGAGCCTTCTCTTCCCCAGGCTGAACAACCCCAACTCCCTCAGCCTTTCTCCATAGCAGAGGTGTTCCAGCCCTCTGCTCATCCTCGTGTCCCTCCTCTGGACCCGCTCCAACAGGTCCGTGTCTTTCCTGTGCTGAGGACCCCAGAGCTGGAGGCAGTGCTGCAGGGGGGGTCTCACCAGAGCAGAGCAGAGGGGCAGAATCCCCTCCCTCGCCCTGCTGGCCATGCTGCTGGTGATGCAGCCCAGGATACGGTTGGCCTTCTGGGCTGCGAGCGCACATTGCCGGCTTGTGTCCAGCTTTTCACCCACCAGTACCCCCAAGTCCTTCTCGGCAGGGCTGCTCTCCATCCCTTCGTCCCCCAGCCTGGATTGATACCGGGGGTTGCCCTGACCCACGTGCAGGACCTTGCACTTGGCCTTGTTGAACCTCATGAGGTTCACACAGGCCCACTTCTCCAGGCTGTCCAGGTCCCTCTGGATGGCATCCCGTCCCTCTGGCGTGTCGACCACACCACTCAGCTTGGTGTCATCTGCAAATTTGCTGAGGGTGCACTTGATCCCACTGTCTATGTCATTGACGAAGATATTAAACAGCACCGGTCCCAGTACGGACCCCTGAGGGACAGCACTTGTCACTGGTCTCCATCCGGACATTGAGCTGTTGACCACTACCCTTTGGATGCGACCATCTAACCAATTCCTCACCCACCAAACAGTCCACCCATCAAATCCGTATCTCTCCAGTTAGAGAGAAGGATGTTGTGGGGGACCATGTCAAAGGCCTTACAGAGGTGCAGATAGACGACATCTGCAGCCCTTCCCATGTCCACTGGTGCAGTCACTCCATCACAGAAGGCCACTAGGTTGGTCAGGCAGGACTTGCCCTTGGTGAAGCCCCGCTGGCTGTTCCGAATCACCTCCCTGTCCTCCATGTGCCTTAGCAGAGCTTCCAGGAGGATCTGTTCCATGATCTTCCCAGGCACAGAGGTGAGGCTGACAGGTTGGTGGTTCCCAGGGTCCTACCCATGTTCGTCTGTTCGTGAATCTGAAGGTTCAGTTGTGTCCCCTTCCTCATGGGGGTGTCCCAGGGAAAAGATTACTTTCAGTCACTTATCGATAGCTTCCTCTCTATATTTTTCCCTCCCTTTGCCCTGCCAGGTTTGGTTTAGGTTGCTCGGAAGAGTCCGTCTTGTTCTTCTAAAACTGGGCCAATCATCAAAACACAGTTAAGTGGGGAAAAATGCTGGTTTCTTGGGATTGTCTTTATTGGTAGGTAGGCAAGTACTGTTTTCAATATGCCAGGCTTTCAAAAGCTCGGGTGGCATCAGTGGCTGTTAGCTAAGACTTGGATTGTGTTTTGGTCCATGAGCCATAGGAAGAAAAGCTGACAGTAGTAGCTCAGGGAAGGAAGCTCAGTGTGAGAATCCCCAGGACATCAGATGTCCAGAAACTTGGGCTCTGCCAAAGGGATGGTGAAGCTCATGCTTTGGGACCCTTTTGTACATACATGTTATGCATGTCCTGGTTGGAAAGACAATTTTTCATTTTGCTGGTGAGGCCTCCAGAAGCTTGTGCCTTTCCTCCTCGTTGGATGGTTTTGTAGACGTGATGCCCTCCATTTGCTGCTGGGAAGGCACCAATCTGCTGCTCTAAGGAAACGGGAGGTGGTATTTCATGGAATCATTGCTCCCCCTAGGAGACCTCCATGTGCCCTCCTGCGAGGCTGCTGCCAAGAAGCCGTGCCTCTTCCTGCTTTTTTTCAAACGCACCTTTGGGCTCCCCGAGTTGCAGACAGCTAAGCTGGCTATCTGCCAAAACAACATTGGAGGAGGTGGAGGTGTTATTAAGGAGGAACTCTGTTTCAATTGGCAGGATGCAGACTGGAGACTGGGAGGGGAATCCTGGCATGTTTCTGCAGGGGCAGGGTGTTGCCACGTCTCAGAGAGGTTCTGCTCGATGCTCTGTGAGCAAGTGATTGAGGAGAGTCTGATCTGCACACGCTTCTGTGTCATGCATTTGGGCTACAGTTGCTTGCTGCCATCACCAGTTCTTAGATCCCATGACCCTGGGGAGCTGGGGACAGAGGACAACTATGTCCTGGAAAGCAAAGTTCTCGGTGACCTGGTTGCACATGCTGTTGTGGAACAGCTCTGCCATCACGTCCTGGCAAGCTAACATCTCAGTTTCACTGTTTGAGTAGTGTAGGTGCTTTGTCTTGGTCAGCTGCTGGTCCTTGTTGCTGTGCCTCTTGTGCCAAAATAAACCCATTGAAAGTACATACTGACTCGGGTCTTTCTGATCTCTGCAGCTCCTGATCACCAGCATGTTCCGAACGGAGTGTGGGTCATTGTGGGTCTCCTCAACTTCATTGCCTATACGTTAGGTAAGACTTTATCTGGTTGATTGTGGGGGTTCGTGTCTGTTGTCTGTTCATGCTGCGGCTGCATGTCGTCTTATCTCCGAGCCCATTGAGAAATTTTTGATTCTGGGCTTCTGCCATGCACTAATCCAATTGCTGCTCGGGCTGCTAGAGCAGCTTCTGGGAGCTGCTTTGCAAAGTGGCTAGAAGGAAGTCCCAGAGCAGCTGATGTGAAAGGAGAATGCTGGAACTGACTTTGAGACGAATTGTGAAATTCTGTCTTCAATCTGCTTTAAATAAACCTAATCTCATCAGACTTTATTGTATTTTTTCAGTCTCAAGTAGAGCAGGGGGGTGGGAAGTGCGCTCCCCGTTAGAGGATGGAGGCAGTGAAAGCTGCTGTTCACTGGCCGCGCGCACTTCGTGAGCTGCAAACTGGCCCATTGCTTTGTGTGGGGGTGTCCAGGAGAACTCCCCATTTCTCCTTGTTCTCTTCCCAGATGGCGTTGATGGGAAACAGGCTCGCCGGACTAACTCCAGCACGCCCCTGGGAGAGCTCTTTGATCATGGCCTGGACAGCTGGGCGTGCGTGTACTTTGTCGTGACAGTCTACTCCACCTTTGGACGGGGCTCCACGGGTGTCAGTGTCTTCGTTCTCTACCTCCTCTTATGGGTGGTCTTGTTTTCATTCATCCTCTCCCACTGGGAGAAGTATAACACAGGGATCCTCTTCCTGCCCTGGGGATATGACATCAGCCAGGTGGTAAGTACACGCCGCAGCCGCTGCTCGGCTTCAGCTGGAGCTCAATAAAGCTTGTCGGAGAACAAGTCTGATGAGGAGCGGCTGAGGGAGCTGGGGTTGTTCAGCCTGGAGAAAAGGAGGCTGAGGGGAGACCTCATTGCTCTCTACAACTACCTGAAAGGAGGTTGTAGCGAGGGGGGGGTCGGTCTCTTCTCCCAAGGAACAAGCGATAGGACGAGAGGAAACGGCCTCAAGTTGCACCAGGGGAGGTTTAGATTGGACGTGAGGAAAAATGTCTTTACTGAAAGAGTGGTTAAACCTTGGACCAGGCTGCCCAGGGAAGTGGTGGAGTCACCGTCCCTGGAGGTATTTAAAAGACGTGTAGATGAGGCGCTTAGGGACATGGTTTAGTGGGCATGGGGGTGTTGGGTTGATGGTTGGACTCGATGATCTTAGAGGTCTCTTCCAACCTTAATGATTCTATGATAAACTTGCTAGTGTGCCTGGGGTGCAGTAGTGCCCACTGAGGTGTGCGAGGGATGCATACAGCTCTGCTACGTGTCCAAAGCCTTGTAAATCTGTCACTGCAGTGCTCTCTGGAAGTGGGTGTCTTCAGCCTGTCTCCAAGCATTGTGGAAGCGGAGAGCTTTCCAAGAGTGCTTGCGTGACTTTGAGCTATAATTGCTTTAATGAGCCGGGGTCATGTGGCACTAGTGTTTGATTGCTCAAAACCATTAAATCCAAGGAGGTTTGTGCGGTGTGGCTTTTATTTTGTTCCGAGTAGCTTTTGTAGATGGACTATCCACAAAAAACGAGGCTTGAAGAATGGATATTGCCTTGTGTTTCCCCTGGCTGGTTTCTGCTGTCCCAAGATGCATCTTTTGGCCACCTAAATCGTTGCTGTAATTAGTTTCCTGCATTAAACCAACGTGGGTATGTTCAAGGCTAGAAGTTCGGGGTGCCTTTTGGCACTAGCAGGATGCTTGCCAAAATGTAGCAGAGTAACTAATTGGCATGTTAATCACTGTGCCTGGAGCAAAGGTTCCTGGGGAGGTGCCCCTCTGTGCGTGGTAACTGGGCAGCGGATGTCGAGCCTGAGGGTGATGGACCCTTTGGTATGTTGGCACGTCCGTCGCTCATTAAGGGCTCCTCTGCAGGAAGCTCTTTCTGAAGAGCCCATCAGAACCGGGAGCAAGCTCTGGATGATACAGTTCACCTTTACTGCTGGCAGCCGTCCTTCCTAGCCAGGGTGCAGTCTCACAGCACCGCGCAGCACACAGTACTCCTTTATCTTCTGGCTTATCAGATGCTGGGTGGGAAATGCAACAAGTTGGAAGCAGAGTGCAATTAATGCCGCCGCATTAATTGCAATAATCATCTCTGCTAGTAAAAGGAGAGCGTAGCTGGTCCCCTCTGACTGTACTCTGACCACTTTCTCCAGAAGCATTGCTTAACCCTAATGCTTTCGCATCTCTGCCTGTTGCAGAAAGGCAGGGGTGGAGGGCTAAGCTGCCCTGCAGCGTGCTTCACCCAGCTTCAGGGTTACTATTAAAACTGAAATACCCCTCGTTAGCTTTTTCCCTGTAATTGCTTCAGCAGACGGATAAGAAAAGGGTCCCTGAACAAACCCTTCAGGGTCACTGCAAGTTGTAGTACAAAACCTCTCTCTCGTGCTTCCAGCATCTCGTGAGTTCAAGCTGTGCGAGGGCATCTTTGCTCCCGCTGCGAGGAGCAACTCCTGGTCGTACCCTTCTCAGCAGCTCAGCTACTACGCTTACTAGACCTGGTCTCGTAACGCGGGATGTTTGTGGATTTTTTTTTTGGTATTTTTCTCCTTCCTGCCGGTGGGGAGAACTGAACGTGATGTAGCTTAGAGCGTACTTCTCAAGCTGCCTTTCCCTGAAGCTGCCTGGCACACGCGTTGCGCTGCCGGGTCGGGTGCTGCCAGACTTGTTTGTCCGGTTGCTCACTGCCTGCTTGTCCTGTGCTTTCTTTCAGACCATTTCAATTGTCTACATAGTGACAGCCATTGTGGGAGTTGAGGCCTGGTATGCACCTTTCCTGTTTAATTTCTTATATAGAGACCTATTCACTGCAATGATTATTGGTAAGAAACTCCATGTTGAAGCCTGTCTTTTAAACTCCACCTTTTTAACGAAACCCAATGTCTTAATTATATGATAACACTGTTCTGTTTGCTGTAATGAAAACTCCTGTAGGCTGTTATTGAAGTGACTAATTGAGGGTGCCTTTCCCAGGATTTCAAACTATTGTTGAACTACTGCATAGTTACTTTGGAGGAGTTAACTCCAGCCTGCCTGGGTCTGTGTTGACCAAAAGAGAAAGGACGCGGAGCGCTGCGCTCATGCCTCAGATATATTTTTGTGCCAGTCCTGAGGGTATAGGTGCATGCTGCTGCTCGGGGGATCGGCCCCCGCGCTGCCTACCTGGGGCTGAGGGTTTGTGTGGACAGACACAGAATGATTCCTGGCCTGGAGCGGCGTAGAGTGGGCAGACGAGAGTGGCTGAGGGTTGTGGCTGCTGCTTGGGGCCGGGTGTGCCAGGGTGCTGGGAAGCAGCTGGAGCCGAGCACCGGCTCCTGGACGCTAAACAGGAGACTCCCTCGTGCCTGGGACCTGCGAGCGTGTGAAAACGCGCCTCCTCCAAATAGCTGTGTTGCCCAAGCGCTGGGGCTGCGGGCATCGCGTCGCCCGGGGGCAGCACAGTTTGTTTTTAGCGAGAGCCATGGGGTTTTTAGGGGATAAAACGCAGCCCAGTGCATGGGTGGGTGCTGGGAGCCGGCGGCCAGCGGCCCTGCAGCGTGGCCGGGGCAGGACCCAGAGCCCAAACGCTGCGCAGGAGCCTGGGGCTGCTGCAGGAGGGAGGTTACAGCCACGGAGGTGGGGATAAGCACTCCGCTGCTTGGAGATCCTGCCCTCCATCCACCCATCTAAAAATTAAATAAAGTAAAATTAAATAAAAGCCCAGCCTTTCTCTCCAGTCAGAACAAGCCACTGCAAAGGGGAGGCTAATGCAGGTGAAGCTTAGTGGGGGAGGGCTGTCTTCGCTTAATGAAATTCGGCTTATTCAGAAGTTTTTGCTTAGTTGAATTTTTCTTAGTCTGTGTCCCTTTCTTTAGAGGTTAATTGTAACTACTTAATTTCAAATCAGTATGTCTTGAATTGTTAACGTTAAATCTAATGCACTTAATCAGGTGGATATGCTGAGCTTTCCTTTGGCAGCCGTACAGCTTAACATATGAATAATAAATGCACTTTTCCTATGTGAAAAATAGAGCACGATGCCTACATTGGCTGGATTTGTGCACTTGGAGAGGAGCTGGGTTATTAAAAGCAGGAATATTTATAGCTCTGTTAAAATACCTAGTGCTATATAAACATGGAAGGAGTTGTGATAGACTCCCGGGTTTGAGTGTAGCAGGTGATATTCCCTATTGAGGTCTAAATTTTTTCAAAGTTATTTAGACTCTTTGTATCATTTGTCAAGTTAAATGACAAGAACTTTTTTGCACAATGGGAACTGAAAATGCTTGCTCACAGTGGGAGAAACAGAAAATGGGTTTTATTATGAAGATTAAAACTGTTGTGCGCAGCCATGTCACTTGTGGAGTTTGAACTCACCTCATGTCTCATTAAAGACAGTATTATAATTAAACTTTGTAACTGTTTAAAGCATAGTACTGGGCTCATTAATGCACCTTTTTAAAATTAAAATGTCTTTAATTTATAGCAGACCTTAACTTGTAATTACAGCTCTTGGACCAGAATTATGAGCACCTACTTTTAAACGTGCCGAGCTATTCTCGGTGCACCTCTGAGCTATTTTTGTTGCAAGCAACTTAAACCAGAGCACAACCACCTGCCCGTTCGTGGGCTGCACGTGATGGTCTCCTTCTGTCGTGGGGCAGTAACGCGGCTCTTTCTCTTCCAGCCTGTGCGCTCACTGTGACGCTGCCGATGAGCCTCTATAACTTCTGCAAGTAAGTTTCTCTGTCCTCAAGTCTCCCTCCCTGCATTAGCACCTTTGCAAGAGCCCCCAAAGCCTTTTAGAACTTGGTTTCCTTGGTAGTTTTGAGACGACTGTTTTCAGTGTGTGTCGTGGTTTAACCTCGGTTGGCAACTAAGCACCACGCAGCCGCTCGCTCACCCCCCCCCCCCCCCCCCCCCCGATGGGATGGGGGAGAGAATTGGAAAAGCATGTGAGAAAAACTTGTGGGTTGAGATAAAAACAGTTTAATAATTGAAATAAAATGATAATGATAATAATATGATAATAGTAATAATACACAAAACAAGTGATGCACAGTACAATTGCTCACCACCCGCCGACCGATGCCCAGCCAGTCCCCGAGCAGCGGCCCCCCCCCGGCCAGCTTCCCCCAGTTTCTGTACTGAGCATGACGTCCAATGGTATGGAATGTCCCTCTGGCCAGTTTGGCTGTGCCCCCTCCCAGCTCCCTGTGCATCAGTCGGTAGAGCATGGAAAACTAGAAAGTCCTTGGCCAGTGTAAGCACTACCTAGCAACAACTAAAACATCGGTGCCTTATCAATGTTGTTCCCATCCTAAATCCAAAACACAGCACTGTACCAGCTCCTAGGAAGGAAATTAACTCTATCCCTGCCGAAACCAGGACAGTGTGGCAAAGTGGCTCTGACACACCAGAAGGTCCCAGTTTGCGGGGTGCACTGGGAGGAGTGGGCTGGCAGCCTGCTCAGCAGGGTCTTGGAGAAGAGCCCCCAGCTTTTGTAGGCTTGTCCCGTTGGTCACAACCCAGAGAGCCAGACAACCAGGAGTTTTTTGAGTTGACAATGAAAGGGGGCATCTTCCTCGTCTGACTGTGGTTGTGATTGGTATCAGCAGTTTTGAGTAGCGGAATGGCCAGTGAGATTTTGCAGCCCCCTCCTGAAGGCAGGGACCAGGTGTTTCTCAGCTGTGGTTCTGTGTATTTTCATTTCTTTGCTTGTGTTTCAGGGCCTATAAAAATAACACCTTGAAGCACCACTCTGTGTATGAAATCATGCTGCCACTGGTATCCCCAGTGTTGCTGTTCCTGCTCTGCACCACGTGGATCTTCATGTCCCCGACGGACATCCTGGAGGTCCATCCTAGACTCTTCTATTTCATGGTTGGAACAGCCTTCGCTAACATTTCTGTAAGCAGCTTTTGCTTTACGCTCCAATTTATCCCCTGGGGAGCGTGAAGCCTGCCAGGGCGCTTGGGAGGCAGGAAGAAAAAGACCAGCTCAAATGTGAGGAGAGAAGGGAGATGCGAAGATTAACTTAACAGCTTTTCTATTTTGCTATGATTGAAACAACAAACAGGAAAGTAGACGGGGTTTGGGGCCTGCGAGTTTTGTGCTGCAGCTCTCACTCTTGAGAAACTAGAGAATTAGTTAAATTGAGGGTGTTTACACATGCATGCGTCCTCTGTGTTGTGAATAGCAAACTGCTAGTACGAAAGGAGTTCCTGCTTCCTTTTTTTTGGATAAATTTAAAATGTGGGGGACTAAAGCTTTTGTCAAAATCCGATTTAGCTGCATGTTGCATCTGTGCTTGCTTGAGACCTTAGCAAAGGCGCCTGTGCTCGTCACCTGAGACATGTGGCTGAGCAGCTCTGTGTGTCCATGCCCTGGGTCCAGCAGCTCACGCTGCTGCTTGGCAGGATTTTCTGCTGATCGTGGAGGTAACGCTGGTAAGGCTCCGTCAGCTCAAGGGAACTCCTTTTTCCTTTAAAGATGCCCTTGATGCCTGTTTCCCTATTACCTTTGAGCCCCATGAGGCTTTGCTCTGTGTCCCCCACAGGAATTCTCATGCAAAGAAAGGTCCTGAGTGAGAAACTCAGGGAAGCTGCATGATGGTAGTTGTAAGCGCAGACGATAGGTACATGTACATGTGTGACCGTCCTCTCTGCACTGCGGACAGCTCTGGGCTTGCAGAGTTGATAGCGGGTGCAAGCTCTGACAGCTTTCTCTTCCTGCAGTGCCAACTGATCGTCTGTCAGATGAGCAGCACGCGCTGCCAGCCTCTGAACTGGATGCTGCTCCCCATCGCGGCGGTGCTCTTCACGGTGGTGTCCGGGTTCGCGCCGAACAGCGAGACGCTTCTCCTCTACTTGTTAACTGCTTTCCTCACCCTGGCGCACATCCACTACGGAGTGGTCGTGGTAGGTGAACTCAGCACGTGGGCTTCGGGCTCGGCTGTCGTCCTCTGGCTGCAGGCTCTGCTTGGGTGCTGCTGCTGTTTGGGGCGGAGAATACTCCGCTGAAAAATGGGAATGTCAGTGGGAATGGCTCTCTGTGTCGTGCTGTCTGTGACCGTATGAAACTTGAGCTGCCTTCCTTGCGAGAGGCTTGTGCGGGCTGTCGCGTGGGTTTGAAGCGAGCCTCGCACAATGTGACGGGGGGCTGTTGTACCGGAGATTAGTCTGAAATAAATGCTCGCTTCTCTGCTGCCGTGTTCAACTCACCCTGGCTGCAGCTCAGAGACCAGCCTTGGATGTCAGCCAGCAAGGGTGACCCACACCCTTGGGCAGTGGGAAGGGCGGCTCCAGTAGATACCCAGAGCAGCAGATGCTGTGTCTGCGTGTTGGGCAGGAGTGCTTAATTTGGGAGTCTTAGCGTAAAATGTTAAACTGCTGTCGGTGTTGCTCTGGCTGATGAGTTCGATCTGCGGCCCTGCTGACGTGCCCTGCGCTGGGAGTCACTGGGAGAGCCGGGATGGAGGGGGGATGTCCCTGCTAGGGAACGTGGGGACGCTGCAGCTGCTCTACCTTCTCCCCTGCTGCAAGGGTTGTGTAGAGATCCAGGAACCAATTTGCCCCCCTTGCTCTGTGCCAGCTCTGCCTGACTCCCTGAGTTTTGATTAAGAGAGAAAACAAAGTCAGAGGAGACCGAGTCCCACTAGAAATGCCCCAGGAAGCCGCTGAGGAACTAGGGCGAGGGACCCCATGTCCCCTGCGGAGCTGGCTGCTGCCACGTGTGTATACCCTCCTTGGGAAGCCCTGTCCCCTGGGAACCCCAGCTCTTAATGTGGAGCCTCCAGAGTCGAGTTTGAACTGTAATTACAGTAAAGAAGTAATAGCCAGGTTGTCTTGTCTTTCCAATTAGTGTAATGAGGGTTCTATGCAAGCAGGATTTGGGTAGCTAAGAAGCTTAAATTTGGTCTTGGAGTTGCAGCTGGAGATGGGGGACTGACCAGATGGTGTAACCCTCTTGTCTGTCCAGGCTTGCCCATCCCCTGCAGTGAGCTTCTCAGTGCTCTGCTCCCCTAAGTTTATGTTCCCCTCATTTCCCCCCGCCTCCAGCTTTCCAAGGGCCCATCTGTGCAGTCTTCTCTTCCAGGATAAAAGAGCCTTTATTGAGCTGAAGAGCCTTTTAAGGCTCTGTGACTGGGACGTAATCCCAAACTGCTCTGAATTTGGGAGTAACGATTGGGAACAAACCCTCTGCCCTGACTCTGTGCCCAGCGCAGCCTCTGGTGCTGCTCAGCACTGCTCATTTTGGTTCTGCAGTGACTGTTACCTTGCAGTCACCAGATGCCGGTGCCACGCCATCTGTTTTACCCTCCTGCCTGCGATTCTCTGAACCGTGCCTGAAAGCTTGTTTCCCGGTGCAGCTCTCAGTCCTCTGTAGTTTTCTCATGTCCTCAAAAGAGGCAGTGGACCCTTCTTCGAAAGGCTGCTGTAAAAGGCATGTGATTATCCAAAACCTGGTGTTGGGTTCCCCTCCTCTCTGTAACCCTCCTGTGTGTGTCTTTATGGTCAATGCAAAGTACCCGACCCCTCGTTTAAATTGCAAATGGATTCAGGGAGCAATTTTTCACGTAGGTATCTGAGATTATCAGATTAATTTAAGCAAAATAATAAAAATATTGCTGGCAGGGGCAGAGAGGGAGCAGTACCGCAGGGTAAAATCCTGCGTGCCTGGGCTCAGGGCAGGCGTTTCTGACTCCTGCCCCTGCGGAGGGCAGGAACGGAGGTGAGCCTGCTCCCGGATAGACCAGGCTGTTACTTGGGAAGGTGCGGGAAGGGAGCAAGGCTGCACCTCGCGGGGCCAGGCGCCCGGCCGGCCCCAGCGTCGGGCTGGCACAGACAGGGCTCGGCTCCTGGGCAGGGCAGCCCGGCTGGCCCCATAGCACAAGACAGCGATTGCGGTCCAGACCTGCTGCGCCCGTGGGGAGCGTGTAGGGTGGGTAACGGTGGGGAAGGTGGGTGCGGGAAGGTGACAGGGGCTTTGTCGGCCACTACAGGGAACCGGTCTGGCGCTCTGCCCGCTCTCCTCCTCATCCCTCCGAGCCTCGCTAACCCGGTCCTGTTGTCTGCCTTGTCCCCAGGTGAGCCAGCTGAGCAGGCACTTCAATATACGGCCCTTCTCGCTAAAGAAGCCCACGCCAGATTGACTAGGAGTGGAGGAAGAGAAAATCGGCTTGCGGTCTGCAGAAGTACTGTAAATAACTGCTGCAAATACCTGTAAATACTTCAACCATCACCACAGACCTAAACCTATCCTCTGGACAGACATCAGGGCAAAGTATGCACGGTATCCGGTGCAGCCAGGGCAGGGCTGGTACGGGGCAGCCCCCGCTGCTGTTGGACGAATGCAAGCTTTTGGTTTTGGGTGAGACTGGACGAGGAGGGTAGCCTTTCAGGTCACTATTACTGTGTATTCGACCAGCTGAATGTTCCCAGCGAAACCTCAAACTCCAGCTCATGCTCAGGTAAAGCCGGTTGGGGATGCAAATGGCTTTACCTGAGCAAAGCATCTTGACCTGTCCCCGAAACCAACGTAACAGCTGATTTCGACAAGGTCAGGGGAACATCCTGGTGGTCGGGGGAGTTCCTGTCTGTCCCTAATCCTGCTAGACAGCCCTTCTCCTGGGCTGGTACTTAGGGAGCAGATGGTGACAGTTCTCCCACATTCTGTCCTGCCTTCCTGCATTCACCCATTTGGGCAAACACTTGCACCTTTTTTGTAAGAGGGGGAAAAAAAGAACACCACACAAAACTTCTAGTAATATTCTACTTGGGCGGGCTTAGAAAATCAGGGCTCAATTTCCTGTAAAAGTGGGAAGGCGGCTTCTGCCTCCCCTGCTCGAGCTGTGGGTACCTGGGACCACATCTCGACCGCATTCCTGTCTGTCTATGTGCATTCCCTGCCTGGGAGTGGGGTCTGGGCTCCGATCGGCAGCAGAAAGTCGCTTACACCAGCCTGTCTAACACAGAGCCAAACTCCCCCCTCTTCCTACCAGTATGAACTTGCTGTTGCAGGTCGGCTCTGCTGGGTCATTGCATGCTGCCTGAGCCTCTCCTTTTGTAGCAGCGCAGCCAGGCTCAGTCTGCGCATCGCCCTTCCCACCAGACCATCAACGGCAGCAAATCCACCGCTTAGAGAAGCACCTTAATAAGTGTTGTGTTGGTTGTGTGTGCACTTTCAGAAAGCTCACAGGCGTGTGTGTGGTGGGGTCCTTTCCAAATATCACTTTATTTTCAAAACCGTTGTCCCCAGCGGCTGCATGTCTCATCCAGGGATATATTTGTTTACTGTCCATCTGTAAAAGAAGTTTGCATTGATTTTTTTTTTTTTTCCAAACTTGTTTTTGTAATTGAGTTAGAGTGGGGTGGTGAAGACTGAATGCTGATTTTCTTTTCTGTTCACTTTATTTAATGAAGACCTGTGCTTGAATGAAGAGTGTAGCTTAAACCCAGGCTCTGGAAAGGCTGCATCCGGAAGCGAACAAGCACAGCAGATTGTGCATATGTAATCTACCATGGGAACAAAGTCGCTTATACACTGATTATTGTGCAACGTGGTTCGTAGAAGCTTGGTCACAGCATTTTCCTTCTGCAGGTGAAGACTCGTCCTGCTTTAGGAAACCTTCAAACTGTAACTACTATTTAATGCTTTTTCTTTTGTAAATTTGAATCATTGTCATGCAGACTATGAGACTTGAAATCCTGAGGCAAGCTCACGTGTTCACTGCGCGTGGGGTGCGACCGTGAGGGTTGCTCGGTCACGGTACGCCCTGCGAGGAGCGAGCTGGGTGCCGTTCGTCTGGGCTGACGTCGTGGGAGGGCTCGGCTGAACGGCTGTGTGCTCGTGTGTCTGCACGGCTGCGACGTGTCTGGGAAGGGTGGCTAGTCTGGGAGAGGGGGCAAATGGTTTTCAGAGTTTATTTAATAAAGTAGCTTACTCCTATATATTTTACTGACGTTGTACAGAAAAAAAAAAACCCTAAGTGTACAAAAGAATTGGGCTGCGCTTGAATTTTTGACTCTTGCTATTTAATGAAATAAAATTATGAAGGGAGATAAACTTTAAGTCATGCTCGCACAAGAATTACAGGGAATCTTAAAATGGGATGCAACACTTACCTATAGGATGTGTTCAGATAGCAAAATTGTGCTAGCAGCACTGACAACAAGTGGAGGTGGGATGATTTCCTTTCTAGTTGTGTGTTTGCAGGACGAGGGAATAACTGAGCCGTTCCCCCGGGCTTTCAGCTGAGCTCCGGGGTCCCAAGCCTTGTCCTGTCTCTTCCCCCTAGCATTACTGGGCCAGTGAGAATGCTGTGAGAAGCTGTCTGATCTTAAATCTTAGGATGTCACTTTGTCTCCGTAATACACAGTTTGTCTGTTGTCTCACCTAGCTGTGAGCTGGTGCGCTTCTGCAGCACGTAATGCACCCTGAAAATCCCCTTTGTGAAGTCACAAACCTGTGGAAGCAGGGCTTCCTCTCTCAAATCCTGCAAGTACTCGTCGTGCTGTAGGAGAAAGACCTCCCTTAAAAACTGGAACCGCTTCCTATCTGCACAGGCTTTATCTTTGGAGAGTCCTGGATTTTTGGTGCCTTAATTTATTGCACCTTGAAACTAGAAAAATATCTCCTTAAATCAGTGCTGGAAAACAGGCTCCCTTGTCTCACAGTGCCACCAGGCTTGTGGCAGAGCGAGGAGAGAGCAGACCTGATCTCGGCGCACATGCGAGACTGTTCCCGACTCGTGCTGCTGCGAAGCTGGGGGGGTGGGG